GTTGAGATGATAAAACTATTGATAAAATAATAAAGAAAATAATTAAAAAATGGAAACTCCAACAAATACAAAATTAAAAATTTTTATTGCATATTTTTTCCTTTATACCCATGAGTTTCCTGATCCATGAGTAACTACCATCACTAGTAATAAAGTGCAAAGAGCAACATAAAAAGTAGTCAAATAGCCCTTCCATTGACAATAGTAGAGTTGAAATCCAAAATCTATAAAGCTCATTTATTAAGTTCTGAGTGTTTTAAACCAAGTATTGCAGGAAACCAAACTTTCTCTTCAGCAAACAGAATGATTTAGAACCTTTTGTGTTGTGCTATCACTCTCTCAATTTTTTGTAAATATTACTAATGTAAATTATTTAAGTTTAGCTAATATTATTAAAGTTTTAATAATATTTATTATACACAAGAAAACAAAGCATTACTTTAACACAAATTGTGGAATTTAGTTTTGGCCTCAAGAAATGTTGGTGTGAAGCATTGGACTATTTTATTTCTTCACAAAAGTATTGGTGATAAGAACAAGTTAATCTCACATAAGAACAAGTTAATCCGTCTGTTCCTATTCAAGTGTTGAGTAAAAAATATAATATAATATTAGATATATTTTAATAAAAATATATATTTGTTAAGGTTTTTATTAAGATAAACTTGTATTAGTATAAAAACTGAATTATTTATGAGGTTTCTATAAAATTAATACTATGGCAATCCATATATACTGCATTTTTTTCATGCTTTTGTATTCATATTTTATCGCATTTTGTGAACAGCAATAAGGTAAGAGTTTGAATACTAATATCCAGTTAATTTATGGAATCTAATTAAACAAAATGTTAACTAGTGTAATCATATAATTAATGTACAAATTGATGTGTAAATAAAGCAGAAACTGATGCTAGATATTGATATTTTCTTTTCCTTTTATGAAGGACATTAGTTACCATTTTATAATATAGATAAAAAAGATAATAATTTAACATCTTGACTTATTTAATGTTGAAAGAGATTTCATTCCTAATGAAGATAAGATATGTAGAATGATATTACAACATGATAATGTTGGTGGATATGAAAATTGATATATTCTTTTAATATATTTATTTTGTGCAAATAAATTCTAAGTAGACTGGTTTAGGGTCCGATTAACCTTACCTTTTTAACTATATGTTTTCTTTTTTTAGTCTTTAAATGTTGAATTTATAAATATCAGATTAATCGTATTACCATTAAATGGTAAAATAATTTATAATATATTAGAAAGTGATTAGAAAAGTTTATAAATTGTAAACATGTTTATAAATTATAAATACAAAATTAATCCAAATGGATAACAAGCATATAGATATCCTAAAATATCCAAGCATATTATAAATATAGTCATTAGCCCCTTTACCAGCTTAAACAAACCAAAAATCAAAAAGTGTATGGCTGAAACCATTTAAAGGCTCTTTTAGAATAATGCTATTCTCTTGTGAATTTATATTATTATAATATAAGCTTATGAGTTTGTTACTTGTGGTTTATAAATATTAATATGTATTTTTAATAAGCATATATATATATAAGTAATTTCTTTTAAAAACTTTTAAAAGTTTAAATTGGTTTTTAGTGATTTATTGAAGCAGATATAGAAGTAGCTCAAGTCACACATAAAATCATCCGTTGTTGCCACCTTGTTCCAATGCTAAGCCTCCAAAAGAAGGTGAAAGAAAACAAGACCGCTGCTACCAAGATACTGGATGGGAGATCATCAAGAGTTCCACAGACCGTAAAGCCTATCAATATTGTAATATTTCATATGTTGCAATATATAGTGAAGGAATGTAGGGGAATGTCACCAACTTGGCTACTATTTTTATTCTTGTTTTTGCTTCTGTTTTGGCATGGTAAAAACTTACTTTATGATGAGAATGTGCACAGAAGTGGTGGTAACTCCTTCATTTTGTTGAGGCCAAATAGTTTTTAGTGAAGCACTTGCTTAGACATTTTTAAGTTATAATCAAGTTTGAGTTTAGATTTGTTATTTTCAAGAAGATTTTTTTTAAAAAAAATATAATAACCATGAAAAACGAGTCTAAGAAAAGAACAAAGAACAGATGTAGCAAAAAAGTTTTGTGCGCAGCATTGGTGTTTGTCGTAGAATCCTGACTTTTGGAGCAACCCAGGTGCTCTCTCGTAACATCTAGGTAATGAACAAATACGGATAGAAAAGAAAGCCTGGAGCTTACCAAGTTACATTTTTACCAAGTATCCACCGCCAGATCCCCCTCAAATCGATGTCGCCACATTTGGTGGGGTACAGCGTACACTCGGAGAATCTTCGCGCACAGAACCTCCTCCTACGGTTAAGAGAACAAGGACGAAACCCGGTGAGGGACGTGTCACACGTAAGCTTCTCACCACAAAAGAGAAGCGATTGTTCCACTTCCTACGCGGGGTGGCGGACGTACCACCACCAAGTTAGCCATGGCTGGATGGAGGTATCCTGCCACTTTAGTACGGGAATGATAAGCTCTCGGAAAAAAGATAGTTTGTTTCTTCTTACTTTAGCTGCGATAGCGTCTCTTCCCAGTCCGTTGCATTTGGAAATCCGGTTGATGATGGCAAATCGGTGTCGCTGTCGACGCAAGCAGACTGGAAAAGCTTCGCGCTATAAGCACAAGAGCAAGCGAGCTTACCTCGTTGTCTCTTGGTTCTTCTTGCTCGTTTTCGTCTCGTTCGTCGCCAAGTAGCGGAAGAAGTTTGAGTTCTTCGATCTTGCATCTCTTTTCTCCCTCTCGCCGCTTGATTCTCGCAGGAAGAAGCGATGATTCTCGACACAGCCGATGATTCTTACTCGCTCCAAGCTGTTGTCGACGGCGCCTCGTCCTCGTACAATCACTCTCCTCCTCCTCTTCCTCCCAGCGGCTTCATCCACCTTTCTCCTGTTGTTTGCGTGCTCGAGCCATGCGCTGCTTGTTCTTGCGCTTGCTGCTGCCAGTGTCCATGGTGTTGGACTGAAAAAGCCGCTCCTTTCCAGGTCCAGTGGGTTCTCGAGCAGCAACAATGCGAGGAGCTCGATTGTAGCGAGCTCTTTCTCCTCAGCCAGTGCGCTGCTGCTGCTGCTGCTGCTATGGAGAACTTCACGGATTCCTCGCCACCACCTATTGACGCTGCTGCGGAAGACGAGCGTGCTGCCTTCTTCTACAGCTTCACGGACGGCTGCCTGGCTTCGATGGACGACGCCATCGTCGCAGACGAATGCTGGAACAGCCTGCTCGATCCCAGAGTCTTGCTGGAAGATGAAAAGCAGCAGTGGGGAAAAGTTGCTGCCTCGACACCACCAGTGAATGTCCGAGCCCAAGAAACCAAGTTTCAGTGCGGCGATGGAAATTGTCAAGAACATGCCCGCCAGGAAAACGCCAGGTACGAAGAGAAGCGCTGCTCTCTTTTCATGATCCGATCTTCGGTGCCTGTTCTTCCAGGATCCGGGAGTTCCGAGCAGCGTTTAAGCGGGCTCTCCGGGACAACTTGGTCATCGACGTTGATGCTGCCACGGACGTCAAGGTAAGTGAAGAAGCCACCTTCCTTTCAAGAACTTGGAGGAAAAAGAAAAATCTCTCACCGGGTTTCTTAGAGATCTTCTCCAGTGCGAAGTTGTGGATGACGACGACGACTTCACACTTCCGGGGCTCCGGGAATATCACCCAACCATGGATCCACTCCAGAGGAGTCCAGAAGTAGCCGGAGGAGTGGAGTCTAGGAACAAGAGAGTTCGCAAGACCCAGTCGGATGATAGCTTCCTCGTGGACGCGCTTCGGCGTAAAAAGGCAAGAACCAAGCTCGACTTCCACATCCCCGAGGCCGATGTCTACGCGATGCATCCGGCTTTGCTCCTGCGAAATTCTCCAGGTGAGTCACTGGAGAGCTGACAGAGAAGAAAATTCTCTCCATCCTGTCGTTCCTCTCTACTCTACTAGAATTCTACCACGGATGTGTTCGTCTTTGTAGCTGGAACGCGATATTTCTTCTCGAGGACGAAATATTACTTCTGCCGGCCGGCGCGATCGAGGACGACGCTGGAGGGATGGCGATGGAAGCAGCAAGGGCCGTCGCTGCCGATCAAGATGAATGGGGAAGTGGTGGCCTACAAGACGTACCTCAGCTTCGTGCCGCTCAAGAACAACGCCTCGTGGCTGGAAATGCTGCTAGAGGCGGCAGAAGGGAGGAGGTCGAGAAGGTGGGCGCGCTACACGATGGAGGAGATTGTGCTCAAGGAAGACCGAGCGATAGAGCTACAAATGCTCAAGGCCTGCCTCATCCCGCGTCCATTCCGTGTGCTGTGTCGAATCTCTAGCCGACAAGATCCCTAAATTCAGTAGAAGCAAGTATATTCATTTTCAATAGCAATTACAAATTAATGTAAATTAATAAAGTGGTAATTTTGAGTTAACGTATCCAGAATAATATTATCTTTATCAAGTTTATAAATGATTTTATTATCAAATCTAGCAAGTTTCTCTTGCCAATGAGTTTGTTTTGGTATAAACTTTGGCTATGTAGCAAAGTAGCTCAATCTGTTACTATTTATATAAATCACTTAAATAATATCTCCAATATTCCAATAATGACACTAAAGCAAATATTTTTCTTTCGTGTGTTGGCCATCTTTGTTGGGTTTCATCCAATTTGTTAGAGTAAAACACAATGGGACAACTGTGTTGCCTTAGTGTAACATTAATTGCATTGTCGCAATCTTGTTGTAACATGGCATCTATCACATAGGTAAATGCATCACAATAGACTTTGAAGGGTTTATGAAAATTTGGGATTCTGAGAATAAGAATTATCAACCGTACAAAAGCACACTAATAAATTGATGTCCAATGAAATAGAATATTACCCTTCATTAACTCAGTCAATGAAAGAGCAATACTTACAAAATTGTGAATAAACTTGTGATAGTATCCTGCCAAACCAAAAAAGGAATGAATATTTGATATAGTGGTCGGGACTTTCTAAGACTTCACTACTTCTACCTTTTTGGATCCACCTCAATTATGCCACCACCAATTATATATTTAAGAAAGTTCATGCATAATTGTCCAAAAGCGCATTTACTTTCCTTAGCATATAGTTTGTGTTCATACAACTTCTGAAATATTAGCTCCAAGTGTTTCAAATGATCTTCCAACGTTTTATTAAAGATTAGAACATCATTGATATATAGGACAATAAATATGTCCTTATAATCTTTGAATATTCTTTCCATCATTGTGTTGAATGTTGCTAAAGCATTATATAACCCAAATGGCATGACAAGGAATTCATAGGATCTATACCAAGTCTTGAAGATTATCTTCTTCACATCTTAATCTATTACCCATATTTGATAATATTTAGACCGTAAATCAAGTCAAATAAAATACTTAGCCTTTAAGAGTTGGTCAAACAAGTTATCAATGTGAGGTAAAGGATAATTGTTTTTGACCATGATTTTGTTGAGAACTCAATAATTAATACATATCCTCATGGTACCATCCTTTTTTATAACAAAAATGACTAATGCTTCATAAGATCATTTATTTAGTTGAATATGATTTTTGTCAAGAAGCTCCGTAAGTTGCTTCTTAAGTTTAGCCATCTCTTTGATGTGCAAACAATATGGAACTTTCATAGGTGGTTTGAGACCTAGAATAACCTTAATTTGATAATCAACCTCATAGCTTTGGCGGCAAATCCATCAAAAAGATATTTTGATTTCATACTAACAATTCCAATATTTCCTTTGGTACAAGATTAACCCCGTTACTGGCTTGAACTGAGTCACCATCACCCTTAGTTTCTATCACTTGACCCTAAAAGGTTTGACATCCCTTCTTAACTACTTTTTGAGTGGCTCTTGCAATCAAAAACTTAGCATCTCAATACTTTGAAGAGTGCTTTTGTAACTGAAAGGACACATCAAGATGTCCTTTTGACCTATGATGTGACTTTGTGTAACACCATATATCCCTTTTATATATTTATTGAAAAAATTTATATCAAACACCATATGAAAATTTAGTATATTCAACACTACCAAGTTCACTTTTTCTTTCCACTTGGATATTCTTATTGGAACATCACTCACAAATCTTCTATCTACTTGCCCACCTTCTACAAACCGAAAGTGTATGGGCAACATCTAATTAACATTCAATCCTAACAACACAACTAAGTCTTTGGATATCATGCTATGCTTAGCTCTTGTGTTAACCATCACTCAAATTCGGTGTTCACAGATAAAACCTACTACATAGGTCAATAACTTAGTGTTTGCATTGATTACAAGAAAAGTTTGAGGAAAGTAACAAAAGTAACTCACCTCCTCTTCTTCATAGTCTACATTGACCAACTCATCAATCCCTTCAATTTCACCACCACCATCTTCCCTCATGACATTAACATGAGATCTTCTTTTATATTTGGTTAGAAATTTCGAGGACCTATATTCTATCTCTCCATAATGGAAGTAATAACCCACACTACCCATTCTGCTAGGGGTAAATTTCACAAGTTGTTGCTGCTTGTACCCACTAGAAAGAGGAATAGAGGGCTTAGGATTAGAAGAAGTTGCTAGTGGTCACAAACCACCACCTTTGTTAATCATTGTTTATGAGCCTCCAGGGCAGAACTTTCCTTTTACCCTCTGTTTTCGATCACTTTATTTATTCCTAGAGTTTTTATTCTTGTCCAAGGTACCAATATATAGCTGCTGATATTGTTCCATGAGCAAGTGACTAAAGGCAACTTGTTGTGTTGCATTTTTATACTCCAGGTATGTCTTCGGTTTAAACTTCAAAATCTCATTACGAGAAAGTGAACTTAAACCTTATAGGAAATAACTTCGAGCATCTTTATCACTCATATTTGTAATCATAATGTGTTTTTGAGCAAATGCATTAACGTAATGCATAAAATTCCCTCGCTACTTTAACCACCATAGCTCTACATGAAATCTTAAACCAATATTGTTTGGCAAATATTCCTTATAGATATGAGATCACATTTTAGTCCAACTTCTAGTCTGCTTTTTTTCAACACACATCTGGCACTACCAAATTTTGGCATGATCAGTGAGAAAGGATTGTACACATGCAACTTTTAAATGATCATCTACATCTACCACTATGAAATAGTTTTCCATATCCAAAGCTTAATAGTCCTACATACCTATAAAATTGGGTGGTTTCAGAGGCTTGAACTTTGAAACTTGTACAACCATGGCGGTGTAAGCCACAAATTTTTCCTTTCCAATTTGCTAGCTTACCTCGTCTACCCGTCCGACACTGCCCTGGCTTTTGCTAAGTTCCCTCGCCAAGGTTCTCGCCTATGGTACCAACTCCTACTTGGTCCTATTTGCTTTCAGCTACTCACTGCACGAGCAACGGAGCGTTAGCCATCCATCCACGGATTCCCAATCTCTCCTAATCCCCCTCCTCGGGTTAGACTGGACTTAAGGTTCGGCTACACTCCCCGCAAGCATAAGCAGCCAAGCACACCAAGCTTCCAGGTTCCTAACATCCCTTGGTACCACAAGACTTGATCATGGGACCCTCTAAATCCCAAGTCTTGAGTGCAACACTTGCTTTGGGACGCCGGGGCGAAACACCGTGGCCTAGCGGCCCGGTATGGGTACCTCTACCCCCCTACTTCCATCCCGAAGGAAGGCCCAAGCCCCTAGGAAGGGCGAGGACCAATGAGCCGCATGGTACTCAAGTGGGGCACCACTCCACATGAGCCAGGAGCACCGCAATCGGTTTCCCTTTCGGGAGTGGGAGCTGCTCTTGAGCACTTCCTTGGATGGCCCCTCCGGCACCAACCAAGTCCATGCTCACTCCCACCCAAGGCCCCTCGGTCCCAGTCCCAACCTCAAGTCGGTTTGGGAGCCCCACTGGAGAGTCCCTTCAAAACTGGTTCCTGGACCTCACTATCCCTACTATACTTTTGGAACCCCCTGCAGCCCCCCCCCCCCCCTGGGAGACGCACGCTTTGGGTTTTCACCCCTTGACCCGTATTAGTATTTGGACTTAGTCTCTGGCTCGATCTCGGACCCGATTTCGGATCCGACTTCGGATTCCGTCTCGGACTCGATCTCGGACTTGATCTCGGACCCGATCTCGGACCCGACCTCGGACTCGACCTCAGACTCGGTCTCGGACCCGATTTCAGATCTCGGACTCCGTCTCAAACTCGGTCTCAAATTCGGACTCGAACTTGGTCCCCGAGTTGGTCTCAGACTCGATTCCGGACTCTATCTCGAACTCGGTCCTAGAGTCGGTCTTGGACTCGATCTTCGACTTGGTCCCATCCGATGAACTCTTTGTCATTTTGATCATGCTTTCGGGGTTCCTTTAGCCTACGACACTTCGGCGAGTTGGTTCCTTACAGGCGGTTGTAGAACTTCATTATCCTCAGAACCTTAAAAAGAGTCCAGTTGCTTAAGTATAGTTGATTTAATTGCCTTAACTTTTGTCTTCCTCCTCACAATCCCATGAGCACCAACTCTCTGTATGCAGCACTTGCATGCTACATAGTGTCAAACGGTTTTTAGCATGATTTCAGCATATTAGTGGCTTAACACGAGGAAAAGGGTACCCCACCAACTCGAGCAGCGTGGAGCTTAGGCTTAAACCCAATCTGAATGTAAAATAATGAGCAACACAACCTAATAGAATCCAAATTAATGTCTCAGGTGGTCAGACATGCAATCTAACCACTATCCCTACTATATATTTGGAACCACTTAGAGCCCCCCCCCCCCGAACACATGCTTTGGGCTTTCATCCCAAACCTCCCTTAGTACCAGGAGTTAATCTCTAGGACAAGTGTGAAAGTTACTAAATATGGAATGGCACTAGATTATAAATTTGGAAGTAGGAACAACACTATTGGGTTTAAAACATTATCTACATTCCATAGATATGTTTCTTGGGGTGGATCTACACATGTACTATAAATAGTATATGGATCTGGAATGGAACTAATACATAGGGCATGATAACGAGGGTGTTTGGTGGACACAATAAACTACCATGTAACGATATTAAGGGACTAGTCTTAATATTATGGAGGTTCTCAATATTAATAAATGTAAGCCAATGAATGAATTTCTCTAACCAAGTCAAATATGCTTAACTAATAGCATTTAGGAATTCCATCCTTATGCTCATTTAGTCAAGTGCTCATTTATCCTTATGTGATAACTAGTTTCTTAACTAGTTTGAGTGGAGACCATAAAAGGAACTAACAATATTAACCTCTTACTGTCATGGCAGTAAGGAAAGAGTGTCTGTAAGGACTACCCGACAAGC